GCGCGCGCGCGCACCCCGTCAAATTGTATCTGACTGGTACAGGAGGAGATTGCCCCTCTTTCTCCAGCAGAGCATCTGGTGGATTCGAACTGCATATGTCTGGGATTGCAGTGCAGTTTCTTCCACCAGGCCACCAGAGCTCTGGTGTATTATCATTTTTAAGATAAAAGATTAAAGGAAGAATCTCGACCCCAGATAAAACCCAAGGTGTTTTAAGAATTGCTTGAATTTCAAATTCTCTCTTTTCCACTTCTCATTATTCACGATGGAGAAAGAATAGTTTAGGAACAAATGTTTGCCCCTTCAGAGTAAGAGCGGGATGGCTTTTATATGCATCAGTATACTGAGAAGCAACCATAAGGCTTGTTTACAGAGAGAGAGAATGGAAGGTCTGATGGTGCAGCAGATAAGAGCTCAGTTACTAACTAAAAGGTAGATGGTTCGAGCCCACCAGCTGCCCCAAGGGAGAAAGATGAGGCTGCTTACTCCTAGAAAGTCTGGAACCCCTAAGGGGCAGTTCTTTGCTGTCAGATAGGGTTGCTATGAGTTGATTCCTGAGCTTTTTGTGAGAAAGAAACCTCTGTTCCTGAGAACCTCAGAACAGAGGTATTTCAAACAGAGATAATGAGCTCTGTGTATTTCTGGAAACACTATTTCTTTTTTTTTTTCTCCTCCAAAAAGCTTGCTTCCCCACCCACCCCCCTGAGAATCCTATGACTAAGATGTTTCTGTTTCAGACTCTGTTTGATTATAGTTCTCTTGTGCCCCTCAGATTATGCACTGGGAAAGGACTGCATCATGCATGGGTACATGCTGAAACTGGGGAACCCGTTCCTGACTCAGTGGCAACGCCGATATTTCTACCTCTTCCCGAACAGGCTGGAGTGGAGAGGGGAGGGCGAGTCGCGGGTGAGTTGGCTGGGGCCTTGTCCCTCTCTGTGCTCTGTGTCATACGGCTGCTTCCTGTCGCTCACACGCTTCCCAGAATGCCCCTAGGTTCTTTAGGGAGCTCTGGTGACCTCGTGGTAAGGAGCTGTGATGCAATCCCAAAGGCACACAGTTCGAATCCACCAGCTGCTCCGTGGGAGAAAGATGGGCAGTCTCCTCCCGTGCAATTTACAGCCTCAGAAAACCCGTTGGAGGGTCAGCTCGGATTCTATTTCAGCTCGCTGGTACACAACAAGAAGAAAGAGATCTTATCGTCCACACTTTGAACTTTTAAATGGAGAAGCCAGGGAAGAGCTCTGCAATGCCTGCTGATGAGATGCTGCTTTCTCGTGTGGACACAAACACCACGTTGCTGGGTGGGCTTGGGCCAGGGCGGAAGGGGGCCGGGTAGATCTCAGACAGCCCAAAGCCAGGGTCAGGCAGAGGTGAGCGCCCTGGGGACTTGAAATCCTTCCTGTGCTGCACTCAGCCTCTGTGTCCTCACCTGCAACAGGAGAGAGGTGGGTCCTGATTAAAAATTGTCACAACAGCCACCCTGTAACTTGGGCATCGGCATTCTTAATATAAGCTGGATGCTGTGAAAAATTCTTCCACCTCCTTAGCAACCTTTGAGGGTCCCGCCTCACTGTATAGAATGGAAACCAGGCCACTGGTCACATGTGGCCTGAGAGGTGTGTCAGGCCCAGGACAGGATGGGCTCCCAGTTCCCTGTCACCAGCCTCCCCGGGCAGAGCCAGCAAGTGGTGGTAATAGAGTAGAGCTGTGATCCCACTGACCTGGCTGAGTCCGCAGACGCCGCCTCCTTTTGTCTGCACCTCTTTGGACGTTTTATAAGTCAGTTTCTCACAGGAAGCAGGAAGATGCAGCCACCTTTTTGAGCTCTGATGTTGGGGGCAGATGTTAAAAGGCATTTCTGCGGCATTTATATGTCTGCTGTGTGAGGTTCCCAGGGAAGGAGGGCTGTGGAGTGTGGCATCTCTGCTGAGGGACAGGTTGTATGCTGACAGTTGGAACATCCGTACCCGCTGGTTCACACCGTTGGCGTGCTGGGACTCCTCCCACATCTTCACCAGCATCTGCACATGGGTGGGAAGCTGTGGGCCCACAGAAAGAGACACTCGGAATGTGTTGAGAATCCCCTCTGGGGGTTGCCCTTTAGTTGTGAATTATTTCAGTAGTATTAAAACAGATCACCTCATTTAAACACACACACACACACACACACACACACACACCACAAAACCTCTTTTCCTTTATGAACGAGATCACCTCACCAGGACTAGAGTTCCAGAAGTCATTTCTATTTTGAGTTCTAACAGGATTCGCGTCCCACTTGCTGAGATGCTCAGCCCATGTCTTCCTGCCCAGCCCTCCTGCCTTTCGCTGGGTCATAGTGCTGGGTCACTGCTCTGGCCACTGGAGGGAGTTCGCCCCGCTCCGGAGGGTGCCCGAAAGCCCCAGAGATGCCAGTGGGCCACGAAAGGGAATTTTCCTTTGATTAACATCCAAGGCTGTGAATTCTCTGTGGCTTTAGAAGATACCACCACAGGTGTTCCATTGGAGACGCTAATGCATGGCTGGAATCTTTAAGTACAAAATCAGAGTGACAAAACCTTGAGTTTATGATGGTGTTGTTTTTCATTTAGGATTCCTGGAGTATTTATCCCAAAAAACATAAAATGGTAAGGCGATCACCATCCCGTAGCAGCCACCCTGAGCAATTAGGATGCTGTGCGCCCGGTGTGACAATCTCGTCCCGGATTCCTTGTGACGTCATTCTGATGGTACCATCAGAATGCTGGCAGCTTGCAGGCCGGAGTTACCAGGTCCCCCGCTGCTTTGTTAGATGAAGCCACGCCCCTCGCTCACGCCAGCTAATCCGGCATTGTTTCCCTCACCACTCTATTGATACATTGATACAGCATTCAGATTGTGTGACGCCAACACGTGTCCTTGTGGCTCCTGGCCACGCAGAGATCAATTCTGTCCTGAGGGAACAGCTTTGCAGTTTTACCTCCCAGAAGCATTCCTTTTTTTTTTTTTTTTGTAGTCCCCTCGCCTTTTTATTTTATTTTTTTAGATATTATAATTTGGACTTTAGTACCAGTTCCTCGGTAGCAGTCCTCTGCCTGATTCTAAAATGTCATTAGAACAAGGTGGGGGGAAATTCTAGTATTTTCTTTGTAATGTCTTGTAATCTGGTAGTTGTCAAGCATTCCTGTCTTCCAGTTAAATCCGTGAAAGGACTTTGCAATAATTCACGCCCTCTCTTGTTACATTTAGCAAAATTTACTGACAATGGAGCAGATTGTTTTTGTGGAAGAAACGCAGATTAAAGACAAGAAGTGCATTTTGCTGAGGATAAAAGGAGGGAAGCAGTTTGTCCTGCAATGTGAGGTGGGTTCCGGTCTGTTCTTCCTCGGAGGGGGGAGTTAGAGGGATGATCTGAAAGCCTGGTTAAGGCCGCCGGCTGGTTGTGTAAGGCCTTTTCTTTCTCTTGTCCTCCAGCTCTTAAATGCCCAGCAAGACAGCCCCAAGGTACCAGGCTTCCGTCAAAGTCACTGTTGTTTCTGACGAAGCAAGCATTTGAAAGTGGCTGGAAATATTTGATTCATAGTTTTAAATTATTTACGTACCCTGTTTAGAAACCAACCACTCTTTTAGAGGGACTTGGAATTGTATTTGTTCTGTAACTTCCAGACCTCAGCCAGCCGCATGTCTGAGGAGAATGTTTGTGTGTGTGTTTAAATGCACCTAAGTTTCACCTTCTCCAAGGGACCATCCCTTTCCCCCAATGTTGCCTGAATTTTGCTGATTTAATGCCTGCATCCCACCCACACCCACATCCACTGTGACTGCTAGGGGAGTGTGTTAGGAGAGAGCACAGGAAGAATCAAATTCATTGTCAAGTCAGAGCCAACTTGTACCTGACCCACATGAGCATTTGGGGAGGCTCTACATCTCGTGGCAGGAAATTGCCTATCTTTCTGCAGCTCAAAAGCTCCAGGTGGATTTGAACCGGCAGAGAGACGCCACCTATGGGCTAGCAACACAGCTCCCTATGGCTTAAGCCACGAGAGCCCCCTAGTGAGTGATAAAGCCAGTAATCAGTACATCAGTGCTTAGTAAATGCATCACCACCTTGCACTTAGGAAAGTGCTTCTCAGTCTGTCCAACTTCCTTTCACTGTCACCTCAGCCACCCTTGATATGTTGGTGACGATCCTTTATGGAGGGAGGCCCCGGAAGGCACAAAGCGTTTCCCACTCACCCCCTAACCTGAAAGTGAGTGGCTTAGACGCACGCACGGAGGAAAGGCCTGGCAGTCGGCTTCCGTGACGGTCACGATGGCCAGGGAAACCTGGGGGGCAGGCTGCTCTGTACCACAGGGTCGCTGTGAGGCAGAATCGACAGCAACGGGCTTTGTTGTGATTTCTAACCAGTGGAGAACTTTGACAGAGGGTTCCTGTCCCTCTACACAACCCTAGTTTCAGAATTCCAAAGTAGTGTCTTGTTGTTATTGTTGGGTACCATTCAAGTCGGAACGGACTCATAGCTGACCCTTCAGTGGGTTGTCAGAGGCAGTAAATCTCACAGGAGGAGACTGCCTATCTTTCTCCTGCAGAGCCAGCTGGTGGATTTGAACCATGTGCCTTTGTGTTGGCAGCCCAACTCCAGAGCCCTAATCTACTTGGGCTCCCTGAGGTAGTGTCTGCATGAATGAACCTTAGAGAACCATGCAGGCGCTTCTCTTGGCTCCAAGGGAGAAGGATGGGCGGTCTCCTCCCATGTAATTTACTGCCTCTGAAACCCCCCTGGAGGGCCAGCTCTGGGTCGGTTCTGACATCATAGCAATGATGGAGGGGACTGCAGGGACACAGAGGGGAAGGCTCCCCATGACCCCAGGATTCATGGTGCTGCTGTCGGAGACCTGGAGGTGAGTCAGACAGAGACCCAAGTGACAGGAGAACTGCCCCGCGGGGCCCCGAGGCTGACATCTTGATGGGAGCGTGTCTCCAGGTCTTCCCTCCCTCGAAGCTGGTTGTCATTGTTGTTAGATGCTGTCGAGTTGACTGTCATTCTAGCGACCCTCTGAATGACGGATCTGAACCCTGTCCTGTCCTGTGCCGTCCTCGTCATCTCTGACACCCACGAGCCCATTGCCACGGTCACTGTGTCAGTCTGTCTCATCGAGGAGCTTCCCCTTCTTCTCTGACCCTCCACCTTTCCTGGAATGATGTCCTTTCCCAAGGACTGACCCCTCCTAACAGATGCCCACAGCATGTGAGACGAAGCTTCACCATCCTTGCCTCCAAGGAGCACTCGGGCTGCACGTTCTCCAAGACATACCTGTCTGTTCTTGGGGCAGTCCATGGGATATTCAGTACTATTTCCCAGCATTACAGCTCAAAGGCATCGATTCTTCTGTCATCCTTGCTCACTGTCCAGCTCTCTGATGATGAGGAAGATGGGTTCAAGCCACAGACCTTTCCATTTGTCGCCACCTCTTGTGCCTTTGCGCTTCCGGGGCCACCATGGGGTGGAATAACTGGACAAGCTCCCGGTGGGCCTGGTCCCTGGTCGGCCTCAGACTGGCCGGCCAGGGGGACAAGCCTGTCACTGTGTCTCTGCTTCTGTTTCCACCCAGAGTGACCCCGAGTTTGTGCAGTGGAAAAAAGAGCTGACGGAGACCTTCACAGAGGCCCAGAGGCTGCTGCGTCGCGCCCCCAAGTTCCTCAACAAGCCCCGGGCGGCCGTGGTGGAGCTGTCCAAGCCCCCCCTGTGCCACAGAAACAGCAACGGCCTGTAGCTCACGACTGGGGGTGGTCCCCATGGGTCCCGTGCATCACGGAAGCGATCACTGGGCGTCCCCAGCCCAGCGATGAAGCTTCCCGGACAAACGAGCAGCAGACGTCGGGGTCCTTGTCTCTGGGAAGACCCCGGAGGCCCAGATGCTCCTAATAGGAGCTGTGACCCCCCGTCCCCTCAGGCCTGGGGCCACCTCCCCACCCACCTGGGGGGCCTCCTGCGACATCGCCTGTCCCCACGACAAGGCTGCCGAATCAGGCGAGCTCCCTATCACCCCCACACTTGGGTTTGGGTGTATGCCAAAACAGGACCTCAAACGGACTGCCGCCTTCCGGCTCCACCTTCACGTCTGACGGCACACACATCTAGACTCCCCAGGAGGACCGGGATGCACGTGTCTCAGGGCCAGCCGATGCACCGACCTGGCTGTCACACCATCTGTGTGCTGTCACTGTGGGTGGCAGGCCTTTGCTCCACGCCCTGGGGCGACAGAGAGAGCCACTGCAGGCCTTCCTGTGCGCTTGAGGGTGGACTTCTCACTGGGCCAGGCAAAAAGCTTCAAGGAGTCCTTTCTTCCCTGAAGGTGTTGGATTTGGGCCCCCCGGCTGTACCAGGTCCACATGTGTACTCCCTGCCCTGACGCCAACAAATACATTCCCAGGAATTCTCTCTAGTGGGAGCCCAGGTAGCCGGGTCTCCCGGGTCGTGGTTTAGGTTCATAACTGAAGGTGGATGACTGAGAAGGTTCGAGAGCATCCAGGCGGGAGGCACCGGGGTTACTTAAATGTCAAGGCAACGGTGGCACTCAGATCGCTGAGGTTGGATCGCTCAGGTAAACCAGCACACCTTCCGCGTTCTGGGCCAGGCTGGGCTGGTGAGCGGGCCTGGCCGTCGGGGTGTCCACACACACAGGGGTTCTGGGTCTTCCTGGCTTTGAAGACGAGAAAGGCTTGCTCCATTTCACTTTATATAAGAAAGTTTCAAGTGAATTCACAGGAATGCTGGTGAATGAACGTGTCACCCTGGGCTCCAGTGTCCATGTGTCCTGAGCTCTGTTCACTCGTCTGTCACCGTAGATGCTTCTCTGCAGGGGGCTGTTGTGTGACAGTGTGAGCTTTAGAGCATAAAGGGGTTTTGTCTCTCACCCCGTCACCTCCCACCCCATGGCGTTGTCCTCTCTGTTTCCAGGCCTTTCCAGGCCTCAGACACAAGCTGGGGAGCAGAGCCAGCCTTTCCCCCAGCCAGTCCCACCCCCCTGCAACGAGACTGAACAGAATTCTCTTCAAAGCCTCATCCTGGGCCTGTTCTTGGGCAGTTTGATCATCTGTCTCTCCGTTAACTGCTCACAGCACAGATAAACTCGATACGATTGTCTGCATCCTGCCCTCAATATTCCTATTAGTTCCAAATCTCTAGCTTTTATTCATGTCTGATGTCCGCCGGGCAAGTAAGTACTTTTTAATGCACTTACGTTTGATGAGTTTGGACCAAGATTTACCAAAAGAGGCTGACGTTTTGGGAAGTTGCTGCTTTTGCTGTGGAAGAGAGATGCTGAGAGGTTCATCATCTGCTGAGCTGCGGTGGAAACGAAGTCCCATCTCTGCTGTCTGCAGAGCCCAGGAGGGGAGGGGAGCTGGGGCTGGGGTGGGGGGCGAGGCAGGGGCCAGTTTCTCCATTGCAGCAACAGCAACAGAAAAAGCAGTTGTGTTTTTGTTTTTTGTTTGTTTTTTTTTTTTTAACAAGGAGCATCTTCCAGCCATAGTTACTCCTACCGGAGCTGCCCAGTTACTGTCCGCGTCCCGGTTAACCCATGTTCTGCATTTACGGTCACACAGAAATTGCCAGGCCTCACAGCTCCACTGGGCGGGGGAGCGGCTCTCAGGTGAAGAATCTGCCCTGGGCCAGTACAGGCTGGGCTCCTCGGGTGGCCTAGTGGTAAGGCATTGTGCTGCCAACCCGAAGGCATGGGGTTCAAATCCACCAGCTGCTCCATGGGAGAAAGTCGAGCAAATCTCCTCCTGTGAGATTGGCTGCCTTTGGACGGTTCAGCTGTGGGTCAGTTCTGACTCGATGGCACATAACAACGGCGAGGGGGTGATCTGTGGTGGTGCAGTGTTGTTACATGTTGCATGGCTAACCAGAAGGCCAGCAGTTCACGTCCACCTGCTGATCCAAGGGGGGAAAGGTGGGCAGCCCCCTCCCCTGAAGACTGACCGCCACAGAAAGCCATGGAGGGCTGCTGTGAATGGGAGGAGCCGGACGGCCACAGTGGTGATGTCGTCTCCACATTGGTGACTTGGGAGCTCAGCAGTTAAGCAGTTGGCTATTAATGGGAGAGGCAGCAGTGTCAACCCACCCACGGGGCCTCAGGAGAGGAAGGTCTGGCTATCTGCTGCTAGAAAGAGGACTTCACAGTTCAGAACCCCCCGGGGGTCAGTTCCACTGTCACACAGAGTCACTGAGTCACAGGCTGGCCTGAGAGGCACCCACAAAAGCAGTGACAGCGACGGGCAAACGTCCAGGGAGGACCAGACATGCCAGGAGCAGGCTGCCTGCCACACTGGCTGGGAAATCGAGGCAGCCTGCATTTCCTGGAAAACACTGCTTCCGGCGGTGGGGCAGGGCGTGAGCTTAACCTCTCTGTCACAGAGGAGCTGTGAGCGCTGTGGGTTTTCTGAAAGCCCCTGCACCTCCCTTGGGTCTAGTCCTGGTTAGACTTCCTCTCTGGCCTGCGGTCTGTGATGACCTGGCCCAGAAGCACCGCGCGGCAGGTTCTTGTCAATGTGTGGTGAGCTCAGGCGAGGTGGGCCCAGTGGGGTCTGGTCAGGGTGGTCTAGGCGGGTCCCCCTGAACCTTCTCACCTGGGCTCCTCTGACAGGGCAGTGGTTCCACCACTAGACACTGCCCATGCCCGTGGCCAGGTGGGCCAGAAGAAATCGGGCGGTGTAGAAATCCTTGTACCCCCAGAGCTGCCTACGAGGGGTCCACGAGTGTTAACAAAAACTCCTAGACACCTGAGCCTCTTTTATGTTTGGGATTGTTTACAAAAGACTGAGATTCAGCTCATGATTGTTGGTTTGTTTTCTTTATGGTTTCACCTTCTGTGGGTGAGTGACCTACTTTAACATCTTCAAGGAAGAGAATGTTTATAAGGAGGATGTTATAAGGAGTCCCGATGGCACACAATGGCTGCTAGCCAAAAAGGCTGGCAGTTCAGAACCCCCAGTGGCCCCGAGGAAGAAAGCTGTGGCCATCTGCTCCTGCACAGAGTCCAGCCGTGGAAACTGGAAGGGCAGGTCTCCTGTGCGCTGTAGGACCCAACGAGTCAGAATCAGCTTGATCGCAAGTGGGTGGTTTGGGTTATGTTTAGGAAATTAAGTTATAAAGAAGTCTTGCTTTTACAGTTCAGAGGAATCGATAAAGCAAAACCCAAACAGAGTACCTGAAGCTGCTATGTAACATATCTGGAATAAATGGAAAACATCAGTGGGCCTATGTTGTTGATTTTTTTCCCCCCTTTTAAACCTCAGGCATCCTCTGTGGAACATTTATCTTGTCAGCCTATCTCTTTGTTTTTCTTCCATGTGAGTGTGATTTTTTTTTTCTTCAGCACAACCTCTGAAAAGAAACTGTGGTTTTGTTCTCACAACAGTAGCCAGGAAGAACGCTCGGACTTCTGACTGACAGGTCCACAGTTGGCATGTGGCTAAGAGGGCCAGAAGCGGCAGCTAGCAACTGCAACCAACAGCCAGCTGTTTAAACAAGGATTGTCTCCTGCACTGCAATCCCCAAAGCATGCAATTCAAACCCAGCTGCTCTGAGGGAGAAAGACAGGCTCCTGCTGTGGGATTTAACTACCTCTGAAAACCCACTGGAGGGTCAGCTCTGGGTCAGTTCTGACTCACAAACATCTCTAAGAGAGTGCTGGTGGCCGAGGCTTCAGGGGAGTTAGTCTAAAGGCAGCTCTTGGGTGGTTGGAACCCATCAGCTACTCGGAGAGTTGTCTCCTCCCTGGGATTTTACCCTCTGAAAACCTAGTGGAGGTTCAAGCTATGAGTTTTCAGACTTGACAGCAGTGAATTTTTTAAATTGTTGTTTTATTTTAAAATTTCTTTCTCACTGGTGACTTGAGGCCCAGACATTCCAAAAAATTGTTTTAAGGCCTTGACGAAACACTGCTTACCAGTGAGGAACAGAGCTCCAGCAGGAGGCATTAATTTATGTCCATGCATGTATAAGCGTTTGCTTTCCACATACAGATGATGGTTGTGGTCAAGTCAGAACCAGCTCTTAGCTGACCCTCCAGCACCAAATCACAGAAGGAAATGTCCCACTTTCTTCCCTTAGAGCAGCTAATGGATTTGAACCATCTGCCTTTGGGTGGGCGGCACAACTCCTTACCAGAGCTCCCTTATGTAAGTCTGCTTTTTAACACACTGAGAAGACACAATTCTCAACGATTAACCTTTTTTGGATGATAGAAATCTGCAACGTGCCCTGGTGACAGTGTCCTTCAGGAGTAGCACTTGCTGGTAACGCAAAGGGTTCAAATCCACCAGCTGCTCCGTGGGAGAGAGATGCGTGATTTCCTCCCACTGAGTTTACAGCCTCAGAAACCCAGGGGAGCTGAATCGGTCCCAACTCAATGTGTTGTTTTTTGTTTTTTTTTTCAAAGAAAAAAAATTACTATTTTTTTTTAGAAGATTTAATCATGTGGATTTTCCCCCCCCCCTCAGTGAAGTTCAGGGAAACGTGTTTGAGATACTTGCCAAATGGCACTCCCTCTCCACCTGCATGAAGGCTCACTTCCGGGGACCAAGAGAGATTGAGGGTCTTAACAAGTTCATGGCTGGAGATCGTTAAGGATGAGTGGAGTGGATGGCTTGGAGAAATTAAGGAGGAAAGTTTGATTTGTGGAGCAAATCAGGCCAGTACCCCACAAAGCACTAAGGAGGTGACAAAGCGTGTGACATCCTTGTTCTCTGCCCTGCTTAACAATGT